TTCTTACTATTGATTGTACAATTAATAGGGGTACTACTAGCCCATGGTAGCAGGAAATGACGGGATCCTAGCTGAACTGTTCAAAATCTTGAAAGATGATGCTGTCAAGGTGATGCATGCCATATGCCAGCAAATATGGAAAACACAAGAATGGCCATCAGACTGGAAAAATCAACTTACATCCCCATCCCAAAAAAGGGAAATGCTAAGGACTGCTCAAACTTCCGTACAGTGGCCCTTATTTCACATGCCAGTAAGGTAATGCTCAAGATCTTACAAAGAAGACTCCAGCAATACATGGAGAGAGAGTTGCCAGACGTTCAAGCTGAGTTTAGAAACAGCAGAGGAACAAGAGACCAAATTACCAATATCCGCTGGATAATGGAGAAAGGCAGGGAGTTTCAGAAAAACATCTATTTCTGTTTTATTGACTATTCTAAAGCCTTTGACTGTGTGGATCGTAATAAATTGTGGCGGTATGGGCATACCAAATCACCTTGTCTCTCTCCTGAGGAATCTGTATAGGGACCAAGTAGCAACAATAAGAACTGACCATGGAACAACTGACTGGTTCATGATTGGGAAAGGCATATGGCAGGGTTGTATCCTCTCCCCCAACCTATTCAACTTGTATGCAGAACACATCATGCGATGTGCGGGGCTTGACAAATGCAAGGCTGGGGTGAAAATTGCTGGAAGAAACATCAACAACCTTAGATATGCAGATGCCACCACTTTGATGGCCAAAAGCGAGGAGGAGCTGAGGAGCCTTCTAATCAAGGTGAAAGAAGAAAGCACAAAAGCTGGGTTGCAGTTAAACATAAACACCCCCCCCCCCAAAGATTATGGCAACAAGAATGATTGACAACTGGGAAATAGAGGGAGAAAACGTGGAGGCAGTGACAGACTTTGTATTTCTAGGTGCAAAGATTTACGCAGATGCAGACTGCAGCCAGGAAATCAGGAGACGCTTCTTGGGAGGACAGCAATGTTCAATCTCGATAAAATTGTGAAGAGTAGAGACATCACACTGGCAACAAAGATCTGCATAGTCAAAGCAATGGCCTTCCCCGTAGTCACCTACGGATGTGAGAGCTGGACCATAGAGAAGGACCATAGGGAAGGCTGAGCGAAGGTAGATAGATGCTTTTGCTGCTGGAGGAAGGTTCTGAGAGTGCCTTGGACAGCGAGAAGATCCAACCAGTCCATACTTTAAGAAATAAAGCCTGACTGCTCATTGGAGGGAAGAATAGTAGAGGCCAAGATGGAGTACTTTGGCCACATCATGAGAAGACAGGAAAGCTTAGAGAAGACAATGATGCTGGGGAAAATGGAAGGAAAAAGGAAGAGGGGCCGACCAAGGGCAAGATGGATGGATGGCATCCTTGAAGTGACTGGATTGACCTTGAAGGAGCTGGGGGTGGTGACGGCTGACAGGGAGCTACTGCATGGGCTGGTCCATGAGGTCATGAATAGTCGGAAATGACTGAACGAATGAACAACGACAAACTACTAGCCCATATTGTTACTGATGCAGGCAGTCCTGAAGCTAATGTTTCACATTTGATCATATGGGGGTGAAGTGAAACTTTGGCTGTAGGTTCCCTATTTCAGTGTAATTCTCCTATTGACAAACTAAATAAATGTAAGGTACAGATGTAGTACCTTATATTTATTCTGTACTATTTTTTGTGTTCTTGACAAAAATGTCGACATATTTCTTGTCCCACCTATAGTAAACTAAATGAATAAATCAATAGCTGAATAGTATTCTTTAATTATGTAAACCCTGTTGATTCAGTGGCTGTATTGTAGTGTAGTTGAGGCTAGACACTGAATTTCTGTTAGTTTTATTTTTCAAGGTAAAGTTGACAATATCAGCATAGCTGGTCATGTGCTGAATCTTCAGGCATGCAGAGTGCACACAGCCCTTAAAGCATTCCTTTTCCATTGTCACTGAACTCTCTGTCAGAAATTGTCTTACTTGTGATGTATACCTTTTGGAATGAAAACTGTTTGAATCAGTAATTACTATGTCAAAAAGAGAGCTTAAGCCAAGTGCTGGCATGCCTGGACATATCTAGATATTTAAAACAAATGCATACGATAATTTGTCTTCTTGTTCAAGGATGATTTAGCTGCTGTATTGTAATATGATTGTTGATATTTGCAAATTGGGGTTTAGTTGTGCATGCATTAAGATTATTTTGATTACAGCAGCCTCAGTACATATGAAATTGTTGGTTTGCAAAAAAATAAATAATATAATCACAGAACAGCATTTGACAGCAGAGACTGATTGTACAGATTGGGCCATATTTTGGTTAATCCCACCCATTTCCCCAGCTATGTTGTATCTCATGTTTAGCAGCTGCAGGAGTGACTCTTCATGCCAGAACAAGAACATTAGGTGTTCACTTGCATTGATATGAGGATGCTTGTTCTTCATCTAGATGCACAATATAATTTATTTTTCTTAAACATAACTACAATAATAGGAAGAAAAATTCTAGAGATGTCAGACTCCAATATTGAAAATGTTTTTAGGGAAAGTAGTTGCTCAAATGCAAAATGGTATCATTGTCTCTGGATTAAATTACAATACCTTGAAGGACATGTGGGACTGTCAGGACAAGCTTTTGAAGTATTGTTGGCAGTACCTCTGGGTACTCCAGCTGCGTTCCTCAGGACAGAGACAGGTGTAGTATCTGTAAGAGTGAGGCTCTTGGACATGTTGGAGGATTGCCTCCCTGTGCTTTGTTTAGACAAACAATAGAAGAAAAACAGCTGGATTAACATAGTCTTAAGATTTATTAACTTCTAAAACTTTCAACTGCCATTTTCCCCCCTAAAATTAGAAAAAAAACTAAGAGACTGGATCTATAACTTGGATAATGATCAGAACTTAGATTCAATTGCATCTTCTGATTTTACCCATTGGTATCATTTGTTAAAATCAAAATCATGTAACACTTCAATATTTACAAACTCTTACCTTTGCCCTTCTGTTTTGGACATCATAAATGGAAACATTCTGATAAATTAATGGCTATGTATTTATGGCATGGATGAGGTAGATGATAGCTTAAATTACTAACTATATTGCCAACTTCATCAAAACACCAGTAAGAGATTATTGGGACAAAATTTGGCTTATTTACAGTTTGAAACTATGTTGGCTTCTATCAGATGGTGACTTGGTGTTACAAATAACATTAGTCTTTTTTTTTTTGCTAAAGCTGCAAAAACTATTTGTGCTAGTTATTTGAAACATGTTGCCACAGGTTGTGCAGAAAATGCATTCATCTCATTTTCTGTATGGATGCATATATGCAGGAATATATATAATCATAGAATCATAGAATCATAGAATCAAAGAGTTGGAAGAGACCTCATGGGCCCTCCAGTCCAACCCCCTGCCAAGAAGCAGGAATATTGCATTCAAATCACCCCTGACAAATGGCCATCCAGCCTCTGCTTAAAAGCTTCCAAAGAAGGAGCCTCCACCACACTCCGGGGCAGAGAGTTCCACTGCTGAACGGCTCTCACAGTCAGGAAGTTCTTCCTAATGTTCAGATGGAATCTCCTCTTGTAGTTTGAAGCCATTGTTCCGCGTCCTAGTCTCCAAGGAAGCAGAAAACAAGCTTGCTCCCTCCTCCCTGTGGCTTCCTCTCACATATTTATACATGGCTATCATATCTCCTCTCAGCCTTCTCTTCTTCAGGCTAAACATGCCCAATTCCCTAAGCCGCTCCTCATAGGGCTTGTTCTCCAGACCCTTGATCATTTTAGTCGCCCTCCTCTGGACACATTCCAGCTTGTCAATATCTCTCTTGAATTGTGGTGCCCAGAATGGTACACAATATTCCAGGTGTGGTCTAACCAAAGCAGAATAGAGGGATAGCATTACTTCCCTAGATCTAGACACTATGCTCCTATTGATGCAGGCCAAAATCCCATTGGCTTTTTTTGCCGCCACATCACATTGTTGGCTCATGTTTAACTTGTTGTCCATGAGGACTCCAAGATCTTTTTCACACGTACTGCTCTCGAGCCAGGCGTCACCCATTCTGTATCTTTGCATTTCATTTTTCTGCCAAAGTGGAGTATCTTGCATTTGTCACTGTTGAACTTCATTTTGTTAGTTTTGACCCATCTCTCTAATCTGTCAAGATCGTTTTGAATTCTGCTCCTGTCCTCTGGACTATTGGCTATCCCTCCCAATTTGGTGTCATCTGCAAACTTGATGATCATGTATAAAGGAAACAATTTACTATAGTGTTGTATGTAATGTACAGGGAACCCTGGAACCAAACCCCAGCAGATTCCAAGGGCCACTGTATAGAGAAGTTAGGTTCTTAATGACTGTTTTTAAAATATTTTTATTGTTTTCATTGCCTTCTTATTTGCATTTAGCTACTATTTTATTATTTTTCTTTCTTTTTTATTAAGGTTTTCAGATAACAATAAAACGGGGGAAACATATTTGGCATAGAAAAGTAGGAAAGTAAAGAAAAAAGTAATGTTGGGGAATGAAAGGAAGGTAAAGAAGGAGATTGGATGGGAAGGTAATGGGGGGGGTAGCTGAGGGGGGACTAAGGAGGGAAGATAGGATATTATTATTTATTATTTTTCTTTTTATTGTGAGGCATGTGGGGATTTTTTAAAATGTCTTCTGAAATACATGATGAATTCATTACATAAAGCACTTTACTTTGAAGATGGCCATAAAGAGGCACTAAATCTTATTGTTATTTTTCAGTCAGACACCTGAGAGTTGTTTAATTATGTTTCAAATGTGACACATAATGTGGTTAATGCACCATAGTTTGCAAACTCACTTTAAACCATCAATTTCAGATCCTTCTTGGTTACTATTCTGGAATAAACATACTATAGTTCTATCTGCATAGAGCACAGATATTTACAGTTCAACTAGAGCTGTAAAAATATTTATCAGCAAGAAAAATAATTATTAAATATGTCTCTTTTTCTTATAGGTGTATGAATTAGATGGCATCCCGTTGATCTTGGATAATTGCAGCATTGATGATAATAATCCTTGTATCCTTTCAATGGTGTTCTACTACTGGAAATGACACATGGCCCTTATAATGCAATTTGAGCCAAGGATGGGTTTGTGTATGCAGACACTAGAGGTAATGCCCTTTTTTCTTTTCATTTGTGGCCCAGATGTTTTGGCCTTCCCAAAATCCCAACAACTGGTAAACTGGCTGGGATTTCTGGGTGTTGTAGGCCAAAACATCCGGGGACCCACAGGTTGAGAATCACTGACTTGAAACAAGTCTTTAAAGCCATCCTAAACCAGAGTCCCCAGATGTTTTTGCCTTCAACTCTCAGGAATCCTAACAGCTGGTAAACTGGCTGGGATTTCTGGGAGTTGTAGGCCAAAACATCTGGGGACCCACAGGTAGAGAACCACCACCCTAAAGGATGATTAGCTGCTAGAATTCAATGAGGCAAATGCATGTTTGAAAATTCTCTTAATATTGAATTATATTGTTGCTCATTGACTCACATGTTTTGGTACACTTACTTGTTAATGTTTTATTGTCATTTCTAACCCTGCATAATTTCTACAGTTTTTTAATTCTATTGTCAGAAAATGGTTTCTGCCATTTTTGATTTTCATTTCAGTTGGAAAGAAGTCATTACATTCTACATTTTGAACCTTAAAAAAAAAGATATCCTTCTTAATGGCCACAGATATTCCCCTTCCTGGGTGCAAAACCTGTTTTATGTATTTATTTTATATTGATATTTTGTTCTAAACTGTTTTTCTTAATAGCATGTATTGAGGGGGAAAATCACAAAACACTTGTGTTTTGCTTTTCTTTTTTCTTGTCAGATCTCTAATGTGTTTAGCTGAGATTTAAACCTTTTAAAGTTATGCTAAGATGATTTTAACTAGTGGTTCTTTTGAAGGGTAGTAATCAAGTGGAGAAACTACATTATTTTGTACCATCTTAAAACAAATAGGGCTGAGTGGACTTCATTATATCTTCCTCTTTCTGAATATCTGAAACTCACTGTTGTCATTTTAAATTAGGATTACTAGTGGAATCTAACCAAACTTGGTAATTGTAGCTTGTCCTGAACCATTTGCTTCAGTCATCATTTGATCGGTCAGCTGAAACAAACAGATAGTACATTACTATGCAGCTCATCAATTTTACATACTTATTAAATTAGACCAGTGGGGAAATTAGTTCACAAATATGGTAATATTCTGTTAAAAGAAGAATAAAAGATTAAATTATTATAACTAGGGAAAATCTAATAGAAATGTCACAGAGAAAGAAAACGAATAGTTGACAAACTTTTATTACAAACTAGCTTAGGTAACTGCAATGTCTGGGTTAAGTAATTGTAGTGTTATTTATTCAAAAAACAAGTTATTTTGTTTTGGATTTTATGAATTATCACATTAGAAAATGCATAAGGATATGGGTAAACTATCACTCCCATCATCCCAGGTCTACCCTCACCCCCAAACACCACCAATTCTTAAGGTAGGTCATGAGGGGTGTGTGTGCCAGGTTTGGTCCAGATCCATCATCAGTGGGATTCACAGTGCTCTTTGATTGTGGGAGAATTACAACTCCCATCATCCCAGCTCAATCCCCCCCAACCCCAACAGTACTTAAAGTTGGTCATGAGGGGCCATGAATTTGTGCTAGGTAAGTGGGTGGTTAAGACAATTAATCTCACCTATCAACTTGCACCCCCCCCCCAAAAAAAAACACCCTCCCTATGCTCAATCTCACCCCACTAGGGCTGCAACTACATCTTACACGTGCCTCAGAGGTGTCTCTTTACCTGCAGTCTGTCAGGCTGCAACATGGTCCATACCCTCCACTTTCATACATTACCGCAGATTGAACTGTAGGGCAATGGGAATTTGGGCAATCTTTTTGTTATCCTTGATTCATCTGGCAATACCCAGATTATATAAATTTGCCTCAAGAGTGCTCTACTCTCCTTTAGATATCATTGCAGTATTTATCTAATAAAAACTCAATTTTTAACTGTCCCTTGTTTTAAATTTCAAATATAATGTTTGATTTCTGGTAATTCCATTTGTGTTGCAGTGAGTTTATTCATTGCAGCCTTTTAACAACCAGCTTTATTCTCCCATCTAAAAACAAAATACTTTATTGTACAGTAGTACATAGAAGTCTTGGAACCGCTTCAGAAAAAACTGGCTTCAGAATTGTAAATAAAATGATTTCCTGTAACTTCATTTAGTTCTTGCATACATGATTTTATGTTGGCTGGTAGCTAACGCTTCTGATGATGATATGTCATTTAATGTTTGGCTGATGGAAATATGGAGCTCTTTGATTCAAAAAACCTGTACAGCAAAGCCTCTGTATTATGTTAATATCAATCTGGCAGTACTTCCTGAAACCAAAATGGCCATAACACTGGAAGAGGAAAAAGCCGGATTGACTTTTGGGCGATCCTGTAGTCGGCTAGGTTGATGGAATCAAAATTGGCACCATTTGTGAAAAGAAAACCTGTGGTTTCTCTTTTCCTCTCGCACTGCAATAGTAGTTGTGGATCCACATATTACTGAACCATTAGTTTTGAAAAAAATGCTGAAAATGTAGGTACAAGCTAATTTTTACATAAACCCATTCAAAAAACATTTTCTGTCATTATAGTCAGTCTGACAGTCATCTTAGAGGTAGATGCAAACTACTTTTGACCTCATGGCAGTGATTACTGTAATTGTGGTTTATGAAACTTCAGGTTAAATCTAGGAGAAATCAAGTTGCTATGGTCAATAACAATTGTGAGATTCCAGGAAAGAGTTTCTTGCAAAAACTAACCAGAATTTCTTATGGAAAAGTGCAGCCTGAGAGAACAATCAGGCTACAGGATTTGAAACAGTCCATGCTGATGAGGAGAGCAAAAACAGAGATATTATTTCATTCGAAGGAGTGAACTATTGCAGTCATTCTGTTTTGTAGCAGCAAGTACATTTTGCTTCAGAATAGTAAAATGCATGAATTGGGAGAACTTGCATTATGTGAAAGCAAAACAGCTAAACAAATACTGAAGAAAATAACACTTGAGTCTTCCCAGTGAAAAGTGAGAGCAAAATCTTTTAGAAATTAAAAGTATATGATAATGAACTAGCTAAATAAAAGCTGACATTGGCTTGCATAAACCCAAGACTGCAATAACTCTGACTCACACACTGATAGGTTAGGTGGAAGTGCAGGTTCATCAGTGCAAGATCTGTTGCAGTTTTGGAAAACAATGCAGTGTATTCAGTAGTAGCCATAGCAGTATGGTGTATTTTCCAGCCAACTGGTCTTTATAAAGACTTTAAAGCTACTTAGATTAAAATCATGACAGATATTTTCTGCATATTTTCTTTTACTGTTCATGAACAGAATATATATATATCATAGAAAATGTATATAAAAATTTCCCACAGTGTAATATAAACATGATTTAGATTTAAATTTGGTAAAATGTAAAATTATGTAAAATTTGAAATGATCATTTGAAATCCATTGTCGTAGTTCAGTTGCAACTACGGGTAACTGATCTTACATGGCCTGGATTTGCATTCACATTTGCATAAGGAGGATCTTTAAATCATTTAGCCTGGCTCATTTACTTATCTATATAAATAAAAATGTAATGTTCTTTTGTGGAATTAACAGAACTCAAAAACCACTGGACGAATTGACACCAAATTTGGACACAATACACCTAACAACCCAATGTATGTCCTTCGCTCAAAAAAATTGATTTTGTCATTTGGGAGTTGTAATTGCTGGGATTTTTAGTACACCTACTATCAAAGAGCATTCTGAACTCCACCAATGATGGAATTTGAACCAATCTTGGGACACAGGACTCTCATGACCAACAGAAAATACTAGAAGGGTTTGGTGGGCATTGACCTTGAGTTTGGGAGTTGTAGTTCATCTACATCCAGAGATCACTTTGGACTCAAACAATGACAGATCTGGACCAAACTTGGCATGAATACTCCATATGCCCAAATATAAACACAGGTGGAGTTTGGGGAAAATAGAGCTTGACATTTGGAAGTTGTAGTTTCTGGGATTTATAGTTCACCTACAATCAAAGAGCATGCTGATCCCCACCAAAGACAGAATTGGGCAAACTTCCCACACAGAACCATAATACCTAAGGCCATCTAGTCCAACTCCCTTCACCAGGGCAAGAAAACGTAATCAAAACCCTCCTGACGAAGAGCCATCTAGCCATAGATATAGATAGATAGATATGTTTCACACAGACACACACACAGATATAGTATCATCGATTTGAAAGGGACCCCTGAAGAAGGATGATTATATGTCGCATGTTCCAGAGGAGACAAACCAGACAATCTCCACATCAACACTAACATAGAAACAGCAAGAAATACTGTTTACCCACAAGCATAAAGGAATTACATATATTAGAAACCATTACTTTATTTTCCAGATATTCCAGATTTATTCTATGACTAGGGGACAGCTAGTCATAGAATAAATAAGAAATTACACTTACTGCATATTCACATTAACATTGCATGGAGAAGGCATGTGCATACTGAATATCACTTCCTGGCTCAGAGTGTGTCATTCAAGTCTTAAAATACTACTGCCAGATTGTAATATATATATCTAATTATTTAAGTGTTCCAATTAAAATTAGTAAGCAATTTTAGCATATAACTGCTGAAGTTTTCCCCTCTAATTTTAACATGTGGAATTTTTGGTAGCTTAGCTTTTTTAGGTTGACTTATCCAGAACATTAAATAGAAGTTATTGAAGTCAAAAAATAGCTTTTAAATATCGTAAGCATGAAATATCATAATCATGGAATGTTTTTGGCTTTACATTGTCCAAGAGTGTGATTTTTCTCCTCCATTTTTGAAAAATCTAAATGGGTTTTAGTTATGCCTAAATTATAGGGTTCTATTAAAATGTCAAAAATATGGAAAGCTGTGGCTAGATTGTATGTACCCTGTCTTTTTTTATTATTAAACTGCAATAGTGGAGTTGATT